CCACATTTTAAAATTTTCTTTGGAAGAATGTTAAAAAATTGCTCTCAGAAGTAAATGATGAATACTCTAGACCAGCAATTTTCAACCTTTTTCATCTCATGGCACACATAAACTAATTACTAAAATTTGGCAGCACACCAAAAAATATATTATTTTTTTGTGATCTGACAAAAAAATAGGTATAATTTTGATTCATTCACACTGGGTGGTTATTGTTGTGTTGGCTGTTGTCATATATTTTTATTTGACAATCTAAGGGAAAAGAGGTCAGCACCCCTGAATAAATAGTCAGGTATTGCATGTTTTAAAAATCTTTGTGGCACAATGGTTGAAAATCACTGCTATAGACAGTCACTCTGATATTTTTTACCCCAAACAGTCTTATCTAGCATGATCACCTACCTAACTCCTCAGACTTGCGTCTTTATATAAAAATCAGGTATGGTCCCTAAGATTAATATTTATTTCCCTGGGGGTAAAAACTATGAGGCAGGCTCTGAAGGTACACAAGAGCTCCATTTTAAACCAAAAGCCACTGGGCCCAGAACAGAAGAGGAAAATCATGTTCCTGAGTTGCTCTTTTCAGTCTACTCCTGGACTTGAAACACTTACAATGCATCACGTATAAACATGTAAGTCAATAAAACTCAGCAACACCTTGGTCACCTGGAACCCCCAAGAATGGTTCTTCTTTTCTCAGATGTCCATATTCCCATTTTCAAGGTAGCTGAGCATATATCCAAACTGCATTTTCACATAACCATGTTGGATGGAAATCTTTCTAGAATAACTTTCCCAAAGTCACACAGTAATTATACTGTAAAGCCTGGATTTGAACCCAGATCTGTTAGACCACCCAATATCTGCCCTACAGTGATGTGTCACCTCCACCCAAGAGCTAAAGACCACGGGGTCTAATTTTTACAATTTACACTGCTGTTTCCTCACCGTCAGGTTCAACTGTCATTTCTCTTCTGGCTATAAGAGACTCCTTTTTATTTTCTTGGTTATTTCAACCATGCTACACAAAAGGATATTGCTAGGTGCTGAGTGCTGGACTGGATGGGTCTAATTTATTGAGAGCAGGTTCTGAATAGAGAGTGGAAAATCCACAAATCATAGTCACAGTGATTTCATGTGACCAAACTCAAAATACAACCTGTAGATAAAGATCTTTGAAGATAAAGGGACATAGGGTTTGATGGAAGAACTTTTTGTTCGACTTCCCTACATTCATCTTCATAATTATGTTGTGTGTTTCCTTTAGAAGACTAGAAACTGGAACAGGGAAAAATATTTTGAAGTAGAAAGTTGTGCTTGGAATCAGCAGTGACTAGCTTCATTGACTAGAGGAGAGGTTCGAAGAATGTCTGAGCTAAAATGAGAGCATCCTGGAGATGGTTCTAATGCCATCATTCTCATCACGAGATAAGGACAGGGAGACTTAAAAAAGTGACTTGTCCACAAGCTGTATGAGTTACTATGCAATTGCCATCAAATACCTGTGGCATATTAACCACACATCAAGCATAAACCAGAAAGTTTTGCCTTCAAGGCAAACAGCCGTGTGTTAACTTCATCTGTTATGGAGCTGATGGAGTTGATGGGTGGGGACCATGCCAACACACTGTCCCAACAGATGCCAGAGTTTTTGCCTCACTTATACTGTATAAAAGGCTGCTTGGTCCAGAGTAAAAGAGCTAAATGTTAGACCAGATGTCCAGAAATGAAAAAATGGGTATCCAATGCCCACAAGCTGTTTACTCTTCCATCCTGAGCAGAACAATAATGTACTGGAAGGGCAGGTGTCTTTCCTAGATGTTGAGGGGGAATGTAGACTTTCCACTGTAGCAGTGGTGGAAAGGCTGATTTCATGGCATCACAAGGGTGAGATGTGGCTTTGATACCTCTTTTTTAGGTCTCTACATTTTCTGGGTGTTTGTCCATAACAACCGTGGTCTCTCTGAGATGGTCAACTAGAGAACAGCAACCATGTGTTTCACCATCTTTGCTTAATGACTGTCACTGAGTGACTCTCAGTCAGAAAGCTGGGAAACAGGGCCGAGCTTCAAAGGGCTCAGGCTCTAAAGACTGATGATTTCCTGACTGATGAGCAGAGGGTAGCCCAAGCAGGGAGGTGGAACAAGACGCCCAGACCAATGCTTCCACCAATCCTCCTCCAAGAGAAGCAAGCACCCGAGGGCCACCTGAGGTTGTCCCGTGTGGGGACAGAAGACCATCCTAAGCATTCAGTCTAATTAATGGTGGTCAATGCTGAGATCTGTTCTGAGGATTGGGATGGCAAAGTTTTAAGACAGAATGTTGAAGATTCTCATCCCTTGAAGTAGAGCTCTCACTAAAAAGGGTTTTCTTTCCAGATAAACTATATTTTCTCCATTATCACTTTAGTTCTTCAAGTGTGTTTCTGAGGAAGACAGTGGTCTGGAGACCTTTCAGACAGTTACAGGAACCCCCCCCCCCCATGGAGGCAGGGCACTCTGGTGTACTTTTCCATAGGCAGGGGTGTCCAACTTTTCGGCGTCTTTGGGCCACACTGGAAGCAGAGTTGTCTTGGGCCACACATTAAATACACAAACACTAACAAAAACTGATCTGCAAAAAAAAAAAAGGTTTTAAGTAAATTTATGATTTTGTGTTGGGTTGCATTTATAGCCATCCTGGGCCACTGGTTGGACACCCTGCCTAGAGAAAGCAGAAAGATCATACACCTTCTGATGGTTCCATTTGGCCCAAGCAACCCAGGACTCAGCAAACTTGCAATAGATTTAGAGAGACTCTGAGTTCTTGCCACAACCCTGACAGTCTCCAAGACTTTGATCAGGGAGCTGTCATCTCTGTGAGACTTACTTTTCTCCATCGGTAGCACCACCTGGGGCAGGAGGTGATTTTGATAAGCCTGATTCAATCTGCTGTTTGTTTAGACATGATATCCACACCCAAGAAAAACTATTTCTTTAAACGTAGTAATTGCAGGCCACCTCATTACATATGATGATGGCAGCCTCCTTTCAAGAGACAGTCACAGCCTGGAAAACCCCTCGGCTTAGAAAGCCTTCTTTGATCACTTGCTCCCAAATCCCCATCCTTTACTTAGTCTGAATTCTGAGTTTGCACCACACAGAGAGCACCTGTCACATACTATCTGTTTTGTCTCCCAAACTTAGAAGATAAGCTCTGAGAAGACAAGGGCTACTTCATATATATATTTTTAAATTTTTTAAGTTAAATTGTATGCAAATCTTGTGCTTAGGTTGAAAGAAAAAAAAAACAAACAAACCCAGACAGGCTGTTGTTACAAATTGAATGGTTGTATTTCCTCATATTCATATGTTGGAAGTTTTAATTCCCAACATGATGGTAGTAGGAGGTGGGGGAGATGGGGCCTTTGGCAGGTAATTAGGTTTAGATGAGGTCAGGACGATGGAGCCCCCACGATGGGATTAGAGCCCTTATAAGAAGAGGAGGATACACCAAAGATCTCACTCTCTCCACACACAGCCAAAGAAGAGGTCATGTGAGCATACAGTGAGATGGCTGCCATCTGCAAACCAGGATGTGGGCCCTCGTCGAGAACCAGATCTACGGGCACCTTGATCTTGGACTTTACAGACACCAGAACTATGAGAAATACATGTGTGTTGTTTAAGTCACCCAGTCTGTGTTATTTTGTTATAGCAGCCCAAGCTGATGAAGACAGCTATTTAAGTTCAGACTGCAGTGTTTGTGGGTGTGATTCTTTGGTATACAATTCTCATCTTTTAATGTCTGAGTCATGTGAGCCAAGAAGTGAAAGCTATGGTATTCTCTGCAAGCCCTCCTGCAGTGTGGACATTATTATTCCTGGTTATGTAGCTCAGAGCCTGGCTCTCTGACTCTTAAAGAATATTCTGTTAGCCACTATTGTTCTTAAATTCCTTTGCTTCTTCACTAGCCAGAGTGTATCCCAACATCTACAACTAAGATGGCCAAGAACTTGAACAAATACAGTTGGAAAGGAAGGGATCAAACAAGTTTCTTCATAGCAGGATTTCTCAGAACCATTAATACAATGTGCATAGTCAATCACTCATGGAAAGATAGAGTGTGTGGCAGTATCTTCAGCTAACCCTGGGAGGACTGACTATTGCATCCCAGAATGGTTAATCTCGCAAGGGGTTTGCAAAGAACTCCAGGCCTGATACAAATTGTCCAACCTGTCATCCTAGGCAGAACTGGCCCAGCCTTTAAATACCATCCAGTCATCCCTGGCTCTCTGATGCTGGACTGACTGAAAATGTCCTCTGAAACAGATTCTTCTTTAACACCATAAAGCAATAGAAATGAAAGGCAGAACAGGTTACATTTTCTTTGACCTGAATATAGATTTTCATTTGCTGCATACTCTTTTCTTTAGGTCTTGTGTCTGTGAGTTAGTGTTTATTTTCACCACTATTTCAATGTAAAATCTAATTCTATAAAATTTGTATAAACCCACCCAGCAGGGGCGAGAGAATCCACGTGAAAATCTATTCTGTGTTTCACCAGCTATGAGTATGCATCCTTCTCCCCCTAAAAGAATATATTCCAGACTTCCTTAGAGATTTTCCTAAACAGTTACATTTTGTTTTAAACTTTCCTATTCAACTATCCACCCTGCTGAAAAATCTCTTTTACTTGTTCACTAGGGGAACAGGTAGCACTAAAAATATTAGACACATTGAGGTCAAAGATACCTGATTCCTATCTCTGACACTTACTGGTTATGTGTACTTAATGAAGTGCTTAATGTTTGTGAGCCTCAAACATCCCAAATCAGATTGGCAAACCACACTTATGGTAGGAGGCCTGCCTTATGGGAAAAGTTATTGGCAAGTGGACAAAGGACTAAATTCCCAAGCTATCTGAGAAGAGGGGAGGCCATGAAAATCCTGTTGAAAGCCTTGCCCTGCTGAGCTAGGCTCTGGCAACAAGGACAGAGGTGAGAAGCGTTCATTACATACGGGACTCCGATCTCAAAGATGTTGTTCTGGATCAACTGCTTCCCCAACATGATGATGCTGAGCTGAATGCAGAGCTCCATGAGGCAGCCCCCAGGAGCACACTGCAGAGGAAGAGAAAAATGAAGGAGGGGTTAGACCAGGTGAGCCCAGAGAAGCAAAGGCCGGAGTTCAGAGCTGTGGTGCAAGGGGGACAAGGATGGGGCTGGGGGTGAAGCGAGTGCCCCTACTGACCACTAGCTAGGCAGGAAACACCAGTGGTCAACTACACTTACCTCTTCCATGCGGTAACTGTTGAACACATAAACATAGCTTCCAGGTCTGCCCACAAACCTGAAATTGAAAAATGTGGGAAGAGTTAGGGGAAGAGAGAGGAAGTCAGGGCTGCTTGAGGGCATGCCTTCAGAAGAATAGCCACTGCCCAATGTCATTTTTGAAAGTACTGGCCAGGGCAGGTGATAAATCACCCAGGGACAATTTGTACCCTGTTTTCAGCTAACAATTATGTATAAAACCTCAAGTTCACCTCCCAGGGATGGGGGTAAGGCTTGCGTGGAGCTGAGAAGGTCCCATGGAGGGAGTTTGTGTGTGTGTGTGTGTGTGTGTGTGTGTGTGTGTGTGTGTGTGATGGCTTCTGAGCTTAATCACAACAAAGTCTGGATTATCTGTAAGTGTACTGTGTACATATCTTCTTCTCTCAACTAGTTTCAAGAACTGAGTTCTGATTGCAAATCCTCAAGGAGAGGAAGTTGAAGGAAATGAAGGGTGAGACATACTAAAGTTGTTAAGTGGAGGTTCCTGGGAACAGAAAAGAAAAATCCAGACTTCCTACTGATGCATTTAAAGGAACGGAAGAAGCCTGCCTCATTCTTCTTCAAGGCAACATCAATTTTATTGGGGAATAAGAAGACTGGGAAGGTGGGGGAAACACAGAGGTAAAAGCCAATCATGGATCTAGACAGGTAATCAGAAGAATCCTACTTATTTGAAATGCCACTCCGGGGTCCACCTGTTAAAATCCTACTCAACTATTTAAGGCTCAGCTTAAACTTTTGCTTCTCTGTGAAGTCCCCCTGTCTCTGTTCATTTTTATACCTCTTATTACAGTACTTATTGCAGATTACAATGTGCTATTGCTAAGGCTACTCTTTCAATATACCACAAGTTTATCTAAAGCCAGGAGCCTAGTTATTTTCACCAAGAAGATCATATGTATGCCATTTGTTATTCATAGTGAATCTAGATGGGAAATACCCATGAAGAATATACTCATTAATACAAACAGTTTCTCTGCTACTATAATTTCATAACAGTCAAGGACAGAGGTCCTGGGAAGGGGTTGTGGTTTGGGCCATAAACACATTTATCAAATGTGGATGATGACAGTTCTTGCTACCAATGTCTGTTCGATGAGCATTTGGCTCAAGGGAAGCTTTCCTGACACAGCTGATGCTTACTGGGAAATCTCCTTGTAAGTCACCAATTGATCTGACCACAGAAATATTCATCAAAAGTGATTTTACATCAAGACCTATTATATAATGAATTTGATTGGCCTTTGTTGCTGGTTCCTGGAAGGAGCCTCTAAATCATTGGAATTTCCTGATAGGAGTGTCTTTATTATACTTGGTGGGCCCTTGGGACTATATACCTAAGTTTATGCTAATGAGTTCACTCAGGATGAAAGAGACCATGCCAGAAAGGCCAACCATGGGATTGGAGGGCTGGGGCTTTGAGCCAGGTAATAGCAGCCTGACCTCAGTAGAAGATAGAAGGACTGGAGATTGAGTTTAATCATATGGCTGATGATTCAATCAATCATACCTACATACTGAAACCTCAGTAAAACTCTGTATCATGAAGCTTGGATGAGCTTCCAGATCAGTGGTACATATCAATGTGCCAGGAAGATGGTATGTTCTGAGAACATCCAAGTTTTGTTTGGGACCCACCTAGACCTCACCCAATGTGGCTCTCCCATTTGCTGATTTGGATTTGTATCCCTCTGCTATAACAAAACTGTAATTTTGAGTACAGCACATTCCTGAGTTATGTAATTTGTTATAGTGAATTATTGAACCTGAAGGGTTAGTGATTGTGGGGGTTAGCTGTCCAAATCATGAGTGGACTGGAAGGTCCATAGCTTGTGGCTTAGTGTGTGAAGTGAAGACAGTGTTGTGGAAGACTGTGCCCTTAATCTGTGAAGTTTACACTAACTCTGGGTAGTTAGCATCAGAATTGCATTGCAAAACCTAAGAGCCTCTGGCGAGACATGAAATCCTCTTCTGCCATATCCTCAAAGCTGAGAGACACAAATTCTTCTAAGACTCACTCTTCAAGGCCCAGAGCCAAATCCCTGTAGAATTTCCCCATTTATCAGAATATGCAGATGTTAATACAAAATGGTTTAGTGCTAACACCATTGTTTCCTGAACAGCCAGGTAAGGGTGGGAAAGGGGAATGGGGCTGAGGGTGTGAACTAACAATGGAGACAGGCTGACTTCAGTGGAGGACCCAGGCTTAATGACCAACTTCTATATAGGACCCAATATACTCACCTCCCCTTGAAAAAGGCCACATAGAAGATAGGCGAGTAGGCATTGACAAACTTTAGCAAGAAAGCTTTCAGTATCAGGCGTTCTTCAAAAGTCTGTTCTGTTTTTGGAACCTCTGAAAGAGAAGAGCAAAGTGGATGAGACTGAGATTTCTCACCTCTCCAAGTTTTGACTCTGTGACATGAGCCATTGTCTCTCCTTCAGAGTAGAAACCAAGAGATTCAGCTCTCTGACACATTAGAATTGAATTCATCTGGGAGGTCCCAAATGGTTTGCCAGGTAATATGAGGCTGAAAAAAAAAAAAGGCCCAGAGTACATCAGATACCACCTTTCTCCTTCCACTTCCTTTCTCTTATCCATCCAGCCAACGGTTACACACTATGCTCCTCAAAGAAGGCTTTGGGCAGGCAGTACTTCCGCATTGACTCACCAAGAGAACTTAGCTTTTACCTGTATAATTAAGATTGCACTTGAACAATAGTCCCTGACAAAAAAGAAAGAAAAGAAAAGAAAAGAAAAGGGAAAAAAAAAAAGGCCTATTCAACACTGAGCTAGAGTAAAGTGGCAGCAAAGACTTATCTTGAGCAAGTGGCATTGTTCCTCTTTTTCTCCACCTTCATTTTTAGCAAGAAAGCCCTCAACTGTATGTCCTCTAGATAGGCTGAGACACCTTGCATTCACTCACTCAAATGATGAAGGGTCATCAGATAAAATAAGTAAAACGAACAGCCTAAGACTAATGTCTCAAACTCAGGGGTCCTAGTGCCAGTGTGTTCTATCAGGTCTGAGCAGGAGACAGATGATGTTACCAGAGGACCCTGAGGCACACTGAGCAGAAACCTCCTGGGTGACTTCAGAAGACTTGAGACCCATGGGATGCCCCAGTGGGCAGCTGTGCAGGGTGCTTAGTGGGGTCTCCATAGACCATGACAAATAGCTTGACAAAGAAGAGAGATTACAGGGCCACACTTCAGAGGCAAAAGGAAGGTACTAACCCTGTATCAGGTGCACTGATGAGTTTAGCCTGAAAGTGTGCTGAGCACAGGGCCCAAGTGCTAGGGCCATGTGGCCAAAGGAGCTCTGTGTCCAGATGAGACTGGAGTGTGGACCTACCTGGCTTGCCTGCCCACCTGACTCACACATGGCTTTTGTAGGAATCATTATTAAAGTGGACACACAACCCTGTTCTCCCCTGAAGTGCCCTTCTCTGATCTATTTCCTCATGAACAAATCCTTCCCATCTTTAACATCCAGATCAAGTGTTACACATAACCTCCTTCCCAAAGCCTTCCAGATGCCTTCAGCTGGTAGTAATTGTCCTCTGTTTTTTTCCTATAGTATTTTATATTTCTTTGTATTAATTACCTATTTTCATACTCTAGGAAAAATCACAGTAATCATAGCTTTCATTGATTGTCTGTGTCTTAGATTGGATTACCCTCTAAGTCAAGGATTTGGGAGTTAGTAGTTTATTTGGGAGGTGCCCAAGGAAACTTTGTGAGGATGTGAGATGTTGAGAAAGCAAAGGGAGGGAAGACAACATGGATGTGTCCATGAACAGGTTAACACCCCAGACAACTGAGACTCATTTCCACTAGGGACCTGCTATAGGAGACTGCGTGAAGCACAATTAAGAATCACACTGAGGTGTGAGCAAGCAGGAGAGAGTCCCTCACTGGCTGAAGGTTACTGCTGGACTTGACTCTCTGGCACTTCAGCTTGTCCTATGCGTGGACGGAGCATCGCCCCACAATCAGAGAACCCCCGCAGAGAGAGAGCTGCAGTGACCTCCAGGGGCCAAGGGGATATGCGTGCTGCACCAGGGCCTCTGCTATAAGCTGCGCTACAGGACGCATTGCACGTGGGTGCATGTGTTTGCTGTCTCAGTTCATCCTCCTCTACCTATGTGAGAGAGGTATCATGTCTCACTTTTTTTGGATACAGGGAACTGAGGCCCGGAGAGGTTAATGCCTTGCTCAAGATCACATTGCCAATAAGTGAAAAAATTAAGATTTGAACCCAGACTTGCCAGCTCCCAAAGACAGTTTTTACTACCCCGCACTTCAGAATCAGGATTGTGGATTGATTAACGTGTACATCACACATCCCCTTCCACCTCCCCACCCTTCACCCACAATCTAACATGATGCACCTAAAAAATACTTGTCACTGTTCAGTTCACATTCATTGAACACCAACTGTGTGCCAGGCACCCTGCCAGAATGAATGAAGACTTTATCACTTCCTTCAAAGAGCTGTATTTAGTAAGGTCTCTGTTGAAAGCCTTTTGCAAACTGCCAATTCTCTTCCAGATTTCTCTGTGAGCGACAAGGTATCATCTCCCTTGTCATCAGAGCAGGGGATCCTTTGGAAAAGAATGCTGCATTTCCATGTCTGCTTTCCCACACAGCACAGTGAGCCCCTCATTTATTTGCAATCCCAGAACACCATCTTGCATATTAGAAGGTAATTCCCAAAAGCATCAGCAGTGGCCCAACCATGAACCTCTGCTAAGGAGATTGTGACAGGCAGGCCAGATATAAGCCCTCAAAGATCCATGGCCCAGGAGGAGACTCAGGAGTGAGAAAGTTTGGAGATCCCATAATGCTACTATCACATGTGTAATCCTGCCTTGATTTCCCCCCTAGGCAGAAAGGGCCTAGGGAAATCAGAGTTACTCACGTGTCTTAGTCCCCCTGAGCCCTGAGAAATATGGGATCACTCCTATAAACCCATCAATACCGAAAACCGGTTCACTCTTCAAATTCCCATTCATCCTGATGTCCACTTCAGTTCATTTATGTGAGAGAACAGCCCCGGAGGCCCTGGCAGGCCATGCTGAGCCTACAGAACACCTCATTACCCTATCTGGGGCCCCTCTGTGTGTTAAGGGGAGAGATTATTTGCTTGTTTTGTATGGCTACAGAGATGGCTACAGGTGCAGACTTTAGCATCAGACATATTTGAGTTTAAACACAGTATGTAATTAGAGAAGTGAAGTTATATCAAAAGGAAACCCTGCCTCACAGGGTTTCCCTGAAGATTCAATGAGAATGCTTGGCACAAGAAAGACCACACTAAATGACAGCTCTTATTATCATCATCATTGTCACCATCCAGGTCCTACAGACTTTTTTTCAACAACACAGTTGGGCAGTCTGTGGCCAGGGGTTAGTGCATATGTCTAGCCCCTTGAGGATCTGGGTATCATTTGCATGTTGGCTTCTGATCACTTTCTACTGGCCAATGCTGAGCATGGAAATGGTGAACACACAGCTTGGAAAGCTGGATCAACATGGCCCCTATTCCCACCACCCCCAAAGAACCACTGGCCCAGCTTTCTGAGGTATTCCAGGCAGGTTTGAAAAGAGCATGGTCTGCCATAGAATCTGGAGACACTGTCATAATTCTGCAAGAGAGGAAGTTGGACAAGTCTACCATGACAGCCCTTGACTGATAGACAGTTTGGTGGTTCTCTCCTCCCTGCCACGCCTAGACAGACGCAAGCACAGCCCCATGAGATAAAAGTCCTGGCCAACCCTGCACTGACTCATCCAATAAGCATTTGGATAAAGATTTGAACTCACCATTGACAGTTAACACTGCCACTTCTGTTAGTTGTTTAGTTTATATAATTTAGAAAGGCCCTCAGATCTTTAACCTCTCAGGCCTTTGCCCTCCCTGCTACAAATCTTGCCCACCAAAGACGTCAGTGCCTCCCTGTTGATTGATGCTTATGAATTCCTCACTGGGCTCAAGACCCACACCCACATCTCCAGCCTGATTCTTATTCTCTCTGACTGAAGGCTGAGGCCCTGGAGGAAATGCCTGCCTACAATTTCTCGGGTCACTGTTAGTTTTAAGATCTCATAACTCTGAATCTCCATGTGGCTGTGAGCCTGATCACTTTCCCCACCCTGTCCCACCTCACCCCGACCATGGACAGTTTGTATGGCTTTTTTACAATGAGCATGGTCACAGCTGTTGCCAGATGTACTCTACTGTACTGAATGAATGAATGACAGGGAAAAAACATTATTTGGAACAGTGAAATTTTTTTATTATTTACTAAAAATTCCCTCACATTCTAAAGAGGGCAAATCCTAAGAAGGGGCCTTTGTCTAGCGAGCAGGATAATGCATACGAAGACACAAAAGAGGGGCAGTCAAAGAGAGTTACCTTTCCCTACATGAGATACAAGGTGGGGGTACTGGGCTCAGAAAAGCCTAGAGCCAGTGCAAAGGGGGCAGGAAGGACAGAGAGAGAGATGAGAGGGTTGCCACCAAAGGAGAAATGTAAGTGACAGGCTGGGGGTTGGGGGTTTTAGAGATGCCCAGTGGAAATTTTCATTAAATTCTACTGTGTGATTTGTAGTATGATCCCTTCATTTGCCTCTCCATAGAAGCTTCAGTAAAGATTCATTAAATTCTTACCAGTACTATCAAGTACTGTTTTCCTTACCAGTACTTGAAGAATTCTGGATGTGTTCTTTGGGATGAACACACGGGCTGAGTTTTACATCAAGATGGGCACCGAGGCATGAACAGAGATTGCCCATGGTGCCCTGTTGTAGCTCAGTTAATAAGGAGAGGCTGGGAAAAGAGATAAAAACAGAGGATAGAGACAGAGATAGAGGATAAAGGAGGGATATAAGGAGGAGTAGGCGGAGAAGGGGAAGGAAGGAAGGAAGAAAGGGAGGAAGAAGGGAGGGAAGGAAGGAAGGAAGGAGGAAGGAAGGAAGGAAGGAAAGAAGGAAGAAAGGAAGGGAGGGAGAGAGGGAGGGAGGGAGGGAGGGAGGAAGGGAAAGAAGGAGGGAAGGAAGGAAAAAATTTTTCAGTAGAAATCTGAGTCTCTGCCCAGTGTGCCTGAGGCAGCAAGTGCAAGTTCAATAGTAATTTAACTGCATCTCATCTGCAATCTTTTTTCTCACTGTTAAATATTTTGTGGATAAGAAAATTAAAACCAATGTGACCCCAAAATAAGGAATTGTGTTTGAGGAGCTGAAAACTTGGAAAAATTACAACTGTGGCTACAGGGGGATTAAGGAAGAGGTCTGGAGAGACACATGTCTTTGATTTTCTTTTCTAATCTCCTTTGAACTCTTTGTACTCCAG